ACAGTGTCCATCATATACTTTCTTAGACCTCTGAAGAGCAAGAAGACTGGGGAGCAGGCCCCCTCTCCACCCTCCTGGCTCAGAGAACTGGGCATTCACAAGTCACGCATTAAACAATTCCTGGGCCTCCCAAGCACCAGGCACCACCCCCAGAAAACGAGATGAATACAACACTGTTTCCCATGAATCTGCTTTCTTCTTTTCTCTGAATAACACTACAACCCATTTCTGTTAGAAAACATCCCACCAAAACAGCCGTCTACACAGCCTGCCCATAGGGAGCGGATTACTTTGCAGTTCCTGCTGCCTCCTTCCTAGATAGAGGTCCTAGTTTGCTAGCTATTTGCAGTGATTTTTACAATATCATAGTTTTTAAAAATGAATGCCAATATGATCCTGACCACATGCAGACTGTAGGTAGCAGGCTGCCCCACCACCAGAAAGCATGCTTCCCAGAGCCCATAAACACAAATCGTGGGTCACAACAGACTAGGAAACACAAACAGGAGGCTGAAACTAAATTCAGAGAAGAAAACACCACCAGGGTAGTTTCAGAATAAATAAGGGCATCTCTTTTTCATCTTAAACACAAAGTGACAGGTTCAGCAAAATGAATGAACTACTTGCTACAACACTTTTACAAGTTCTAGTTTACTTAAGAAAAACGTAACACATAGTAAAAAAAACCTTTTAATTTGTTACTAATTAGAAATACTGGCTGGCATAAAGAAGTGAAAATTGAGAGAACACGTGCCAACAGCACGGCTTTTCTTAAGGAGAGGGCTGGGCAGACACAAGTCCCATTTGCTAAGGATGTGGGTTCCAGCACCCTTCTACAGACTTTCCTTCTTTATTTGATTCTCACGACATTCCCAGGAAGGACACAGCAGTGAGCCCATGTTCTCCGGATGTGGAGCCTCAAGCTCAGATGTGAAGTGACATGCACTGTATTTACTATTCCAGTTCCTGGAGCAAAAGCCTTCATTCTCTGAATCAGTGTTTCCTGATGAATTGGGTCAACTGGTCCTCACGCAGTCTTTACAACACTGCATGGGACAGCCACACACTGCAGGACATCTGGCATCTCCAGCCATAAGCAACATACCGGCAGCACCCAGTAACAGTTCCTGTAGGTCCCAAATGTGGCCAAGCAGGACAAAGTCACCCAGCAGTAGACAAAAACCACTGCTCCAAAAGACTCTCAGGAACATCTGAACAAAGGCTGGAGAGTATGGTGTTTCTCTTAAAAGTATCCCCTACCTACAGGTCTCCCAGAAGTCCTTTATTTTATGGCATTTAGGCTCCTAAAGAGGCCCCACACACCCTTAGGAACCCAGTGATGAAAGCTCAATGAATACAGTTGCTGTGCAACTCATGAGCACTTACTATCTACCTGTGATGGGCCAGGTACGGTGCTAGCAACTGGGAATACAAAGTACAAGCATGCATGGTGCCAAGCCCCTTAGAGGCTCAAAATCTAGTGAGAGGCACATGGAGCACCAGGTGCCAGCACAGATACCACCAGCACTGGGGAGGCTTGTGTAGGAAGCTCCCATGGCCCTGGACAGCATGCTGGGATGGCAAAGGGATGGGAGGGCTGGGACAAGCACCAAGAGGACAGGTCTCCAGAGGCCAGAGGAAGGGCAACCAGGCCAAGGTCTTTGCAAAGATGGGAAACATAGTTGCAGCAGAAGCTTCAAATCCATCCTTCTTTCTGTGAGTCCTGCTTGTGATTCAAACTCAGGGTCTCCTGTTTACGAAACAGGAACAGTAGCCAAAGAAGTCACTGGAAAATAAAATGATCTATACGCCATCCAAATGTACTTCCTTTCCAAGTCCTTGGTTTGTTTTCAAGGCCTGGCTTCACTGGAACAATCACCCATTCTACAAGAAACATGGCAAAGTCTACATTTCTCATGGTGAACAGGAAGTTGTTTTCAAGAACACAGTGGGCTGGCAGGAGGTGGGAGTGTCCCTCACTTGGGGACACAGAAGTGTGGAGAGACCAAATTAGTGTCACCTGATGGGTGACAGAGATGGGAGACCGGTAGGTCAACTTAGTCTTGGCCTCAAGCTCAAGATGAACTTTACCTTTACTTTTTGTTTTGATTTTTGGCATCTGATTTTTGCCCTGTTGGCACAGAAAAGACAATCTGAAAAAGTCTTTGGTTATTTGTTTTTTTAATTATGTATGTGTGGAGAGGGAGAGAGGGAGAGGGGGAAGGGGGTCTTTTTTTTTTTTTTTTTTTTAATCCTGCTTTGGTAACAGTTGGGAACTCTGAGAGTGATCAGCTGTAGATCTCTGAGCCTGAGACAGCCCAAAGGCCAGAGTTTCCTGAGTTTCTTGGTGCTGTGAGTTTCTAGGTATTGAGTGTAGGACCAAGTTGGTGCTACTTCAGGTTGTCAAGACTGTCATCACGAGGACAGCAAGCGTCAAGTCTGCTCAGCATCTCTGTCCTGGTGCGAGGAGATGCCAGCCTCATGGCTCCTCACACCCCTGCTCTTGAGGAACAGACTCTCTTCCCCTGGGCAGAATGCTGTTGAGCTGGTCTGGCTGCCCACCTCTTCCTACCTCAGCTTCACGTGGATCTGACTGCACTTGGGAACTGTAAGTCTGTAGGTGGATACGGGCTCCTATGTAGTCCCGCAGGCATTCATCCCACCATTCAAGTACAGGCTGACCTCCAGCTTGGCATCACAGACATGCTTTTTTCCCCAGAAATGCAAAGCAGCACCCAGCACCATCGGTCAACAAACAAAACCAAACTCAAAAGTGGAAAAGGAAGGCGAAGCTGGGCTCGGTGGCTCAGCCTGTAATCCTGCACCTTTGGGAGGCTGAGGTGAGTGGATTGCCTGAGCCCGCGGGTTCAAGACCCACCTGGGCAGCGAGACCTTATCTCTACAATAAATCAAAAAATCAGCCGGGCGTGGTAGTGCATGCCTGTAATTCCGGCTACTCGGAAGGCTGAGGTGGAAGGATCGCCGGAGCCCAGCAGGTCGAGGCTGTGGTGGCCGGGAGAGGCCACTGCACTCCAGTCTGAGAGACAGAGTGAGACTCCAACTCAAAAAAACCCCAAAAGATTGGGTTCGGTGGCTCAGCCTGTAATTCCAGCACTTTGAAAGGGTGAGGCGAAGCTGGGCTCGGTGGGTCAGCCTGTAATCCCACGCTTTGGGAGGCTGAGGTGAGTGGATTGCCTGAGCCCGCGGGTTCAAGACCCACCTGGGCAGCGAGACCTTATCTCTACAATAAATCAAAAAATCAGCCGGGCGTGGTAGTGCATGCCTGTAATTCCGGCTACTCGGAAGGCTGAGGTGGAAGGATCGCCGGAGCCCAGCAGGTCGAGGCTGTGGTGGCCGGGAGAGGCCACTGCACTCCAGTCTGAGAGACAGAGTGAGACTCCAACTCAAAAAAACCCCAAAAGATTGGGTTCGGTGGCTCAGCCTGTAATTCCAGCACTTTGAAAGGGTGAGGCGAAGCTGGGCTCGGTGGGTCAGCCTGTAATCCCACGCTTTGGGAGGCTGAGGTGAGTGGATTGCCTGAGCCCGCGGGTTCAAGACCCACCTGGGCAGCGAGACCTTATCTCTACAATAAATCAAAAAATCAGCCGGGCGTGGTAGTGCATGCCTGTAATTCCGGCTACTCGGAAGGCTGAGGTGGAAGGATCGCCGGAGCCCAGCAGGTCGAGGCTGTGGTGGCCGGGAGAGGCCACTGCACTCCAGTCTGAGAGACAGAGTGAGACTCCAACTCAAAAAAACCCCAAAAGATTGGGTTCGGTGGCTCAGCCTGTAATTCCAGCACTTTGAAAGGGTGAGGCGAAGCTGGGCTCGGTGGGTCAGCCTGTAATCCCACGCTTTGGGAGGCTGAGGTGAGTGGATTGCCTGAGCCCGCGGGTTCAAGACCCACCTGGGCAGCGAGACCTTATCTCTACAATAAATCAAAAAATCAGCCGGGCGTGGTAGTGCATGCCTGTAATTCCGGCTACTCGGAAGGCTGAGGTGGAAGGATCGCCGGAGCCCAGCAGGTCGAGGCTGTGGTGGCCGGGAGAGGCCACTGCACTCCAGTCTGAGAGACAGAGTGAGACTCCAACTCAAAAAAAAGAAAAGAAAAGAAAAGAAAAGGAAGGCGTTCCTCAGAGAAAGGTACTCCTGGAATCCAAGTGGCTGTGGAAGTTTCTCCTGGTTGATCCCACACCATGTCTGTAACTTTGCTGGGCCAAGGGGCAGCATAAGCAGGGACAGGTGCAGGAACCACCTTGCTCCCAAACCCCCATCCACCTGTCCAGGTTGGAGGAGGATGCAAAGGCCCGGGTGAACCCAGGTCTCTGCTGTGCAATGACAGCCTGGCTGGGGCTCCACGTGTGGGGTCAGCAAGCTCTCCACCCGGGTCACCAGAATGCCCAACTGGATCAACAGCCTTCCTGGGTCACCAGCCTCCCCGCCCGGGTCACCAGTGTGCCCAACTGGGTCACCAGCCTCCCCAGGTCACCAGCCTGCTCTGGCCACCAGCCTCCCCTGGCCACCAGCCTCCCCATCTGGGTCACCAGCCTTGTGCCCAGGCCACCGGCCGTTCCAAGTCACCAGCCGCCCCGAGTCACCAGACCCCGCCTGGCCACCAGGCTTCCCGGGACCACCAACCTACCGGGATCACCAGCATACCAGCGGGAGGGGAAAGAAAGACGCCCCAGGGCTGGAATCCCGGGCTGGACTCCACGGCCCCCGTCTCCAGTCGTCGTCTCGCAGAAGGGACCTTCCCCACCTCCCAATCCAGTCCTGCACACCTGCGCGTCGCCCCATAGCAAGTGAAGCGGGCACCGGGCCCCCTCGAGGCTCCGGTGGGCGATCACAGGTGGAGAAGGAGGAGAAGGGGAGGGACCGCTCTCCCCGCTCGGGTACCCTCCCGCCGCCCCAAGTCCCCTGCCCCCACGCCCTCCGAGCGCACCAGGGACGAGGGGACTGAGGCACAGGAAAGAGGATCTGGAGATGCCTCCGGCACCCCTTACCTTCCACCGCCATGCTCAAAGCGTCCTGAACGCGCGCATCCTGTCCCAAGCCGAAGTCCTCCCGCCCGCGCCTCCAGCTCGCCCTCGCCCTAGCGTCCTGCGCTCCTGGGCTCGGGACCCACCTGCCGCGGGCGCTCGGCGCGGGGCGACTTGGGAAGTGTAGTTCCTGCCCGGCGCGGGGCAACCTGGGAAGTGTAGTTCCTGCGCCTTGCTGGGACGCGGGAAGGCGTCCAGAGTCCTCCGCCAGAGCGGCACTCCAGGGGCACTCTGACGGCAGCACCGGTCTCAGCGGGCCCGAACAGAGCTGTTCCTCCTAGAGGGCTCGTGAGGGAACCTGGAGAAGGGCTCCGGTGGGGCCAGGACTACAACTCCCAAGATGCCCTGCGCCGGGCTTCGATCCTCGCTGAGAGGGGCCCGGTGATTGAACCTGCCCTACTAGGAGGGTCGAGCGCCCGGCACTGCGTGGGCGGCCGGGTTTGGGGGTGTTCCCTGGATATCCCGGGCTGGTCCGCCGGCCTCGGCGCCGCTCGCAGGCCCCCGAACCCCTGCACAAGTGCGGGAGAAACTCGCCCCTCCGCGCTTTGGGTCGTGGGGTGGTGGGGACCCCGCTGGTGACCCGACCCTCCGGAGATCTGGGACTAAAGGTCCCCAGCAGGCGCATCACCGGGGGCGATTAGGACGCGGAAGGCAGGCGCCCGCGACAGCCGCCAGGGGGCGTGGCGATGAGCTCCCAGGAGCCCTGCGCCCTCAACTCGGGGACCCGGTCCTGACCCCGGGTGCCGGGGGGCCGCAAGAGACAGGACCCGGGGAAACACGCGGACGGCGACCGGAGCCCAGAGCTGGAAAATCCTGGTAATTTTTTAGTTTCCAAACTTTTTCCCAGCTCGTGAAAATACACATGCAGTTATGGCTTCAGGTCGTGGAAATGGCCTTGGGAACAAATCTGGATCTGGACGGTTTAAAAGCCTTGAGCTTAGAAATGCATGTGGTGCCACATCCATTTATAATTTTTAAAAATTACTCTGTAAAATAATCAGATTCCTCCCATGGTGACTACTTAGATATTTCTTTATATGTCTTGGTCATAAGGGGGGAAAAATTTTCTTTTCAACACAATCTTGTTCAAGTGTGTACGTGTATACCTGTTTTTTTGGTCACTAAGTACGTGTTAGTCGTCCTGTTGGGTGATATGACTATGGATAGAATATTTTTAAAAGAGCATGTATGTGGCCATAAAACACTCTTGGTGATACCTTAATATTGAGTCCATGGGAGCTATGTGCATATCAAGCCTAAGCTTTCCATTCTAGGTATAGCAGAGAGAGACCTCTTCATTGAGGCACAGTTTCCAAGGGAAAAATAATTTCCCAATCTAATATTCAGCCCAGCATTGTGGAAGGAACTGAAATCCAGGTGCTTCCCTCCTCCCTGGTGTATACCAAATCATCAAAGAATGAAGTCTTTTCTTGAATTGAATAAACAGGAAGAAAAGCCACAGGACAGGCTGAGTCAGTGTCTTCTCCACCTGGGCTGGCATCAGCCCCACAAACACATATTCCTAAGCTCCACCTTTGTCTCACAGAATCAGGTCTGATGGGGGTTTGGGGCACTTACATTTGAGAAACCCACAGGTGTTTCAGATCTTCAGTGAGGGTAAAAATCATTGGTCCACTTTCAAGCTTTTAAAGATCTGGGTGATATTAAGATATGAAAATCACTGATATCCATTGCTAATTCAAAAACTTTGTTTTAGCTCAAGCCTTTAATAAGTTTCCCAACTGATGTGCATTCCAGCTGAGTCTCCTTTTTTAGTATAAATATAAATAGGATGTGAAGGAAATACTGGGTTGAACCATATGAAATAGCCAATGTTTGATCAAGTTTTTCAGCTTATAAATAGAGCAGTTCCATGTGTTTCAGCCTAATAAAAGATAAGCAACAGTTGAGCAGAGGTTTTGAAGACAAAATTACAATTCTTGGATGCTTTGAAGACAAAGTTACAATTCTTACCAGAATGGCCAAAAGAAAAAAGACACAAAACACCAGCTCTTGGCAAGATTGTGAAACAGTGAAGACTCATATATTGCTGTTGCTGTATAAATGTGTACAACCATGTTTGAAAGCCATGTGACATATTAACTTGAATATATACTCCTCCTGTGACCCAGAAGTTCTTCTCCTACGTGTGTACCAATACCAAACAGGTGTGCATATACATGTTCCCCAAGAGACACGCACAAGAATGTTTGTGGCTGTATTGTCTTAATTTCCCCAAATGGAAAACAACCCACATGTCCATCAACAATAAATTGGATTAATGAATTGTGGTATAACCAAACAATTCTATATAGCAGAATCAACCAACTGTGGCCAGTGGGCCAAACACGGCTCACCAGTTAAGTATGAATTTTACATTTTTAAACGATTGGGAAAAATGCAAAAGACATATGAAATTTTGTGACACATGGAAATCATATAGAAGTAAGTATATAATATCCTCAGTTTTGTCTCTTGGCCTACAAAGACTAAAACATTTCCTTCCTGGCCATTTGCAAAAAAAAAAAAAAAAAAAGGTTTGCCAAGCCCTGCTATAAAGTAATGAGAATGAAGGAATTACAACTATACACAACAATGTGGATGGATCACAGGCATTAGTTATCTACCACTGGAAACTGATGACCCAAAATACAGTGCTTAAAACAATACCCACCCACTACCTCTGTCCCTCTGCGTCTGTGACTCAGGCACAGCGTGTCCTATGCTTCAAGTTCTCCTGCAGGCTGCAGTTGTGTATTGTTTCCATGGTGGTAGTTTTTGGTCTCTGGTATCAGCCGCCACATACAGTTCCTATCTGATACACCCAGCTTTAGTGAGGAACAAAGTCCAGAGCCCACCCCAGGCCTCCCAGAAGCCAAGTTCTGCATTCCTTATTATGCTCTTGTTTGTTTCTTCTGGTGCATAAGCACTTTGAGGGCTGGAACTGAGTTTCAGACTTTGTATCTTCCATCTTTTCGGCCATAATTGTGGTTACATGGTATGTACTCAGTAAATGATTTAGTAGGACTATTGTCATTATGTTGTTATTATAAGTAGCATTTATTGAGTAATTACAAGTGCAAACTCTTCTCAGCACTTTCACATACATTAGCTTCTTTAATCCCTACAATTCTATCAGCTAGCACCCTTTCCCTAATGAGGAAATTGAGGCTCAGTGAGACTAAGCAATTTGCTCAGTGTCTCAAGAACACGAAATAAGGTAGCAAGGGGCTTGAGTGCTGAGCACAGAGTTTGGTAGCATCAATCACTCTATCTAGATTTCTATACTGATTACCTGATCACAAATCCAAGTTCACGAACACTTGGCCAATTTGGAATTGTCAATAACACTAAAATGAAGGATTTTAAACACTTTAATGTCAGAAAGGATAAGAAGTAGAATGACTCAGTAATTTCTAAATGCATCAGAAGGCACAGAAAGGGAAAAGGCTTATTAGCTTATAGCTATTTAAATTTAAAAAGAAATATTACGATGAGACTACAGATTTCACCAGATCCTACAATTTAGAATAGTGTATGTAAGTATCTTAGTGCTCTAATTAGGTTGCTATATTCACTACTAGTTTCTATAGAAAACATTCATAAATCTCAAAAGTAAATAGACTATCACATTTCTCTTCTGTCCAGGGAAATCTTGTGAATCTAACCCAAAGAATTCAAACCCTAGCGACTAAAACTTTTTACATGATGAAACAGAGGGAAAAAAAGTTTTTGTTATTAAAATGAAAAAAATATAACTTTCTTTATTCTGTATTTTTTGAGTTGAAGTTTCACTCTGTTGCCCAGGCTGGAATGCAGTGGCATGCTCCTGACCACCATAGCCTCGACCTGGTGGGCTCAAATCATTCTTCCACCTCAGCCTTCCAAGTATCTGGAACTACAGGCATGTGTCACCATGTCCAGTTAATTTTTTAAAACTTAATTGTCGAGATGTCGTCTCACCAAGTTGTCCAGGCTGGTCTCAAAATAATAACTGTCAAATTCCCAAGTCATGGACACAAATGCCAACCATTCAAGTTCTGCCAGCTTTCTGGAAAGAGTAAGCAAGATTTCAGGGCTCATGATTTGAGCAAATGCATACTGTTGCTTTGTGCTTAACTTGCTGTGTGTGATTAAATCATCCTGTGTGTCACTTGTATTGTAATAAGCTGGTGAAATTCTGTGGCATCGTTGTTTTAAACTACACTTTTGAAATCAAAGGCTCAAATGATGTGAGAAGAATCTATTTTCATGTTAATTGTAGTTGCCTTAATATTTGATTAAAGCACTAAGCGTCATAGACATACAGGTTGCCATTCTGACCCCCATTTACTAGCTTTTGACTGTTGGCGAAGGTCTTTGGCATTTCTGTGCTTCAATATTCCTGCATGTCCCAGAATACTATGACTATGTAGTATACCTATTGGCTAGCTCACAGTTTGGTGCTCAGCAGTAACGAGAGATTGCAGAGTACTGCACAGGTCCTGGCACACAGTGAACACCCAATAAGTGTTAGCTCTTGTCATCACTCAAGGAAGCCCAGAAGCCATGCCCTAACAACATGGACACACTTCAGTTAGGAGATCACCAGGGCTCCAGGCTGCTTGCTAGATCTGAAGCAAGTTTATATTGGTCTGACTTGCTGTTAAGTCACAGAATGCACTTGATCAGCACAGAGGCTTCTCCGATAGGCAGAAAAATGTAGCTATGGAAGGACAGTGCCCAAGGCACCTGCCCCTTCTCCCGAAAGATTTTGGGAAGATTTTTGGCTGTGTAGGCTGTGGTGGCTGGCAATGCACACATTGTCTGAATGACACACCTGCCTGAAGTCAGTCCACAGAACTCTTGGGGATGGGCCCATACACTCCTGGTGGAAACTGAATGGTCTCTCGAGCAGAGGAGTGGTCACCTGGAGCCATGCATCCTCTGCACACACCAACCCAGCCCTAGAAAAGGCGTGGCTGGCTCACACGGCTGAATCATTGCGTCAAGAGGTGAAAACTCAAGGCTCAGTGGGCCCTTGCA